GACTTGGAGGGAGTCATGCTTTTGATCTATTGCTGTTATCTTATCTGAGGTCAATAGATGCTTGTTCAAATTCCACAGAGTTTCAAAAGTTCCCTATGGTAAATCCATGATATAGGTAAAGTGCTTGAGTAGAAGCATGAAGAGCGTTAGATTCCTAGTAACCACATAAAGCTCCAAGTGTACTGGCATGTTTGTAACCACAGCACTGAGGAGACAGAGACAGGCACATACTTGTGGCTTTGTGATAAGCGAGTCAGGTCTAAATGTCAATACCTAGGTTCAGTGAGCAATCCACTCTCAAAAACTATGGAGGATAGCCTAGAGAAAAATTCAAGACCCTGGCTGCCTGCCTCCATACTCAAACACAAGGATATGCACATCCAGATGCACACGAACACACACACACACACACACACACACATAAATACACTACTCACACACATGTGCACAGATGTCAGGAAAAACTGGGGCCATGCTTTTTGACTATTTATCTACATATACATACAACTCCATATGGAGTTGCTTGATTTTTTTGTATGTTTGTTTGTTTGTCTGTTTGTTTGTATGCTGAGGGTCTAATTCTACCCAGTCTTTGAGAAGGCAGTTGAGTGGTAGTTTTTCAGGATCTTAGAACCAGTTTTCCCTATTTTCAAGAAAGGAAGAAAAGAAATCTTAGATCCAGATTGCCATTTCCCAACCCACATTCCTTAGTTTACTGACCTGCTGGCTAGTGACATCTGGGACAGTTTATTCTGTGGGAGCGGAGGCCAGGGCAAATATTGTCATTTCCTCACCTGTGCATTGTTTCAATTCCCTTCTAGTTTCCAGTTTCCTCCTTTGGTCTTTCTTAGGTCATATCCCTGCAGGGAACTCAGGACCTGTTTTTCGATAACTTCATTTGCATTCAAGATATTTGATGCTGTGAACCCCAAAATACTTAATTTGTCACTTGTTTTATCAGCATGGTTATTCATAGATATTCTAGACACCAGCAGAGAGAGCCTTAAAGCCATCCCTGGCATGGCAGAGGCTATCTAATTGGGAAAAAAAGTGGCCATAGATTAGGGTACCATGAAAATAGAAGCGTCCCTAGCACAACTGGTGGACATCTACAACGACACTTTGTCCATTAAGACAACAATATCCTCAGGCTATGAGAAATCCCTGTCTCAGTAGTGACCAGATCAGGGACAGAAGGCAGTGTCTGAAGCAGAAAATTAGCAACCAGAGTACTGATCACATGCAGTGAAAATAGATGCTACACCTGCCTCTCAGTCATGGGAAGCGTGAGCCGAGAAGAAGAGAAAACAAAAACACAAACAGCCCAGTCTGACTCCAAAGCCCCAGTGCTTTGTTCTACTAACCGGAGGAGCAGGTGAGTTGTACTGCAGGTGATGTGTCCTGTAAATCTAGAGGCCTCTTTGAAACTGCTTAATCTTTTTTTTTTTTTTCATTGACAACATTCGGCAAAAAATGCTACGTAATTGGGAAACACAGAGACCTGCAAAAGGTTCTTGATCTTATTGGGGCAAGAAAACTGTCCACTACCTCTCAAGCCACACCATGATCTGCTCACAGCTGTACAAACAATAGCTAGGATTTGTTTTCCAGAGCTGGGGACAGAGCGCAGGGACTCTTCCATGTTAGGAAAGCTCTTGCCCTCTGAACCCCACCCCTGCCCTACAGTCATTGTTTATGCCACTTTATTCTACATTCCTCCAACAGCTTGGGGCCTCTCATAGATCAACGGCTTTTGTAAGGCCAGCAGAGAACATGGCACACACAGCATGGACATGAGGAAGCCTAGGTTAACGAATGGGCACAGAGGGAAGAAAGGCATTTTTAAGGTGAGCGCTTTCGTCTTCCAGATAATCACCTAAGGGAAGTACTGTGCCTGCCACCGCAGAACATTCTCTCACAGCCCAGATATCATATCCCTTAAGCACACCACAGGTAAGTGAAGGAGAAAGGTCCCACTTGTGAGTGAGAACTTTGTTGGCAAGGCTTTAAGTCAGAATATTCACAAATCTCCTCTTAAGAGCTCTTTGGGAGAGCACAGCCAACTTGCAGTAGCCAGATGGATTCTAGAAAATAACCTAAAGACCCCCAGGGGTGCCAGCACCCAGTGAACTTTTTTCCACACAGAACTTCCCCTCTTGTCTCACTCACAGCTACCTGCCTTTGAATTTCAGGTACTTACCAACTTAAACTCCAAGCAAGTTTGGTTTGACCTTCTTTTTTCCGTATTAGAAAACGTCGGTGTTGTCAACTAAACAGTGGTTATTCCTAAACCAGCTGTTTACCCGAATCACCACACAGAGACTAGGATTTATTTAATTAACCTAGAGCACGATGCTGGGCAGTAGGTACTCCATCCTATACCTCCACGCTTACAGTTTCCTCCCATTCAGACTTCCCATATTATATTTGCTTTTTGTCCTATCTTAGGTCTCATTCATCTCTCCCCATACTTCCAAATCCTCTCCTGCCAATCTCTCCTGTTCTACTCCTCCCACTTGCTTCTTTCTCCCCGCCTCTGGACCAGGATGTCCCACCAGATTCTCTCCATTGCTCAGTTTAGGCTGGTTGTTTTACTGCAATTACAGAGAACAAATGGAGGCATGTTTACATAAACTTGAGACAGATGATGCTTAGAATAAACAGCACAGTGCAGTGTCTGGATTGAAACCAGGTAGTGGGGTAGAGAAATCAGCATTTCAACGAACAAGGATACATTGTATCCATTCCACAAGAACATTATACCAACACTTGAGGATAGCTTCCTTCCTTTGCTTCCTTCCTAGAATGGCTCAGGAAACCGAAAGGAAGGTTAGAACCCCTTCGTTTCCCACAGCCAGCCTACCCTGGGGTGCTTACACTTAGCTTATTTCACAGCACAAAGGTCCAAGAGCTAAGCATGAGGCTAGGGATGAAACATAGATGTGACCTTCCCAAATGGGCCTTCCGCATGCCTACAGAGGGGCAAATCTCCCTTCTTTCACCTTTCCACCCTGGGAAGATAATCAGTTCTTTGGAGTGTTCTTTGGTTGAAGAGTGACTGGCCATGTCGCATTCTTGTTTTTCAGGAGAGATCTTCACTACTTACTTTTATGAGATCAAAGCATATCATTTCATTAGCTCCAGTCCTCTACTCTCCTTACTTGTAGTGTAGCTGGAGTATCTGACAATGGTAATAATGGTTGGGATGAGTGAGGGACCCTCACTCAGAAGGAGTTCTGAGAGTGCCAGACTATTATGGCCACTTCTGATTCATTCCCTGCAATTTACAGTTTGATATGCCAATCCAGAGTAGAGATCTTCCCAGAGTCTGACTGAAACCCCAAGTACTGTCATTTTCTAGGTCATTTTCTAGGAAATTGCCAAGCTTTTTTGATGGAAATAACAAAGAACTGAATATCTGGAAATGACACAGCAAGCCACCGAGAAAGAGAAGTAACAGATTTATTACAAACAGCTCCCCTTGGGATGCGTGGGGACCTAAGCAGGAAGATTGCTAATCAAGCTCTGGGTTGGGTGCTCTCTAGAGCCCTCTATTGGCTATGTTTAAATACTCTCTTCTGGTCCCTTTTCCAAGTATTTTCCTCATGTATCTTCTGGAACAAAAGCTGCCACCTGAGGAATGTATGACTTTCTATTCTGCCTCAATTTGTGATTAATAGCTAATGAGAACAAGTGATTTGCATCAAGTCTAGTTTGCTATAAGACTTCCAATATTGTTTCTCTTTTACAAATGTAGCAAGCAGAGTGCTGCTACTTAAGATGTTACAGCTTCACAAACAACAGTAAAGAAACCTCTTACTCAACCTTTCCTGATGGTCTTGCAATAGGTTAGTGTCTGAATGCCCCAGAAGAGCTCACTGATGAAGTCTAAGAGATTAGTGAGCTAGTCATATTTGAGATGAGCAAGGAGACCAAGCTAAATAAAAATTCTAATGGAAATATATTTGGAGACCATGATTTGCTTTCTGATGAAATTCACAAGACACACTTACCTGCATTTTACAGAGTTTATTCAGCATTAGGAAAAAGCACAAAACTGATCAAACAATGGTACACAAGCAACAGAATTACCAGGATGTCAGAAAAATAAACATTGATTGTAATGTTTCTTAGTGGAAATGCCAATATTTGTGGTTGATTCGTGCTGATAGGAGTATGGGTCCCATCATCACAGGGAAACAAACATCTCTGGAGGTCATCAGCTCACAAAATTCCCTGGATATGCAAGTCTTTGTGTGCAAAATGCTTCAGTAGAAAAATCAAAAGAACACTAGAAATAATTCTACCTGCAATCTACAGTTGGCTGGGTACCGTCACTCATTAAGACATGTTGTCTAGCAATAAATTAAATCCACAAAGGTTCCCCTCAAGTTTAATCTTACAAAAAAAAAGGTCATTACAATTCTACTTTATCACACTTTCTGTTCATTTGTGGCTTCTTTTCTTAACTTTTTCTTTTCTTTTTGAGACAGTGTGCCAATATATGGCAATGGCTGGCCTGGAAATAGCTAGATAAACCAACCTGGACTTGAACTCACGAAGATCTGTCTATCTGCCTCTCCACCTCTGCAGTGTTGGAAAGTAATGTGCCAACCCACCCAGTCCTCATCATTCCATTCTTTTTACTGAAAATAATTTTTTCACACTATATATTTTGAATTTGATTTATCTAAAAATGTTTAAATGTAACCAATCTCACAGTTTTCATTGTTCTGCCATCTTTGAATATTCAAAGTACATCTTAAACCCACAAATGGTAATTAATGGGGATAATAAAGTGGGCATTCTCATTTTAGCAATATTTCTAAAATTGAGAAGGTGAAATAACACTCTCAAACACATACAGTAATCTTTATTCAAATTGAACTGTAGCTTTATCCACAAATCAGCTTATTTTGTGAACATTTATAACACAATAGTACAAAATATAACTATTAGATTGCTTTTTTCCTGACTACCGAGATACATGTACAAATGATTTATAGATTTTCCTCTAACCAAGTAATATACTTATCTCTTAATTTTAATCCCAAATCTAAAAACACTGGACCCCTGGTGAATGACAGGGCCCCATGGACTCCTTCCTCTATGTGGTCATGAGTAACTTGAACTCCAACATTTCTAAGGCGTGAGATGTAAATGAGACCATCGTCTCTTAAGGGATCATGTTCACAAGTGAGGATGTAGGTCAGTGGCAAACTCTGTAACTGGGAGTCACTGGCTAGCAAAGGGGACAGCCTGCTATCCAAGAGTGCTGGATAGGAAGCCTTCAGTTTCCCGAGAACTGGTTCCGTGTAAACATGGTTCTTCTTGTACTTCTCAGGAAGGAAGTCACTCCAGTTCACAAACTTGAACAGATGTCTTGATTCTTCCGGCATGTGCTCATTTTTCAGTATAGCCTGGGGGAGAGCTTTGTCTTCAGTTACATATAGGCATGCCAGCTTAATTGTCATCTCCCTAGACAGAATCGGACCATGTGCGTACTCTCGATGAGATGGTAGAGAAGTATCAAGCGACTGTAGTCCAGGGTATATCAAGGCTTGTGCCTTAATTCTACCTTTGAATTTTGGATCATTCTGTAGCTAGAAATATAATGAAAACTAATTAATCAATAGCTTCCAAACAAAAAGATTTATAATTTCTTTTCAGTAGCCAGAGAAAATAAATTTGTCTAAAACACTAGTGATTTTTCTCTCAACATTTAGTCATTAATTTAGATACATGAGAATGTCAATCCACTGTCATCTGTGCAAAAACAACTTGCACGCAGTTGCTCACACATTTGTTCATATATGATAAATAGGAAGATGATCAGCAGCATCTTAATGTGGATGGCAAAATTTTTGTTTCTGATGTCAGATTTTTGATAAGTTATTTAGGCTTTGTTCCTAGAAATTTATCTTTAGTTTTTGTAATAAAGTCTTGTTGCACATCTCAGGGATGTTCTGTAACATAGTAACTCCCTGTCTCAGTCTCCCAAGAGCTCAAGTAATAAGCATGTATTAGCATATCTCATTTTCCTAAAAGAGCTTTTGACCTGAGTAATATAATGTCCAAAATCTACAAACATAATCAAATAAAGCTGCCAAAACTCACATATACACTAGCATCTAATGGAACTTGCCATGTTAAAGAAAAACAAATACCATTTATCTAAGTAGTATGGTGTGGTGGAAATGATGGACAATACAGATAATAATTTATAAAAATCAGAAGATCAAAAAGGGATGTGGAATGTTGCATGTTGAAGCTTCTATTTCTTATCAGAAATAAGAGGAGTACTGAGTCTTTAGCTACAATCTTTTCTCCTTGTACATTCTACGCAAGTGAAACTAGACTTCTTCAATGAAAGTGAGCACTATACAGCTCCGGCATCTAAAGCAGCTCTGTACCAGTGACTGTAGCTGCTGACATTCTGTGGGAAGTTCCAAGCTATGAAAGATCTCTCAAGGCCATGCCCTCATAAAGGCAAAGGACTTCACAAAATGAAAGCAACCATGAAATCTCATTACCTCATCAGAAGGTTGCCCATCTGACCAACTCCAACTTGCAGGACAATCGAAGGTAGGTCATACAAGTTCAAGAAAAAAAAACCGAAGAAATAAAAATTTCTCTAAGGTAATCTTTTCATGGTTCTTAATTTTCACAATGGCATTCAATGTGAGCTTTACAAATAAACTGAATCCTCTCAGATTAGTGGAAAATCCAGCAGGAAGCATGGTGTGAAAACTGAGGTAGAGCCATACAATAACTCTTTCATGTAGCAGAAGTGATGTCCTCAAGTTAGTTAGCACACAGAGGCCCTCCATGGCAAGTTCCTAGGTTGTTTCCTGTTTTCTTCTTCTTCTGATGTCCATCCTCTTTGCCTTCCAGGATGGGGGTTGAACATTTTACTCAGGGTCCTCTCTCTTGATTAGTTTCTTTAGATGTACAGATTTTAGTAGGTTTGTCTTATATTACATATCTATATGAGTGAGTATATACTGTGTGTATCTTTCTGCTTCTGGGACAGCTCACTCAGAATGATCCTTTCCAGGTCCCACCATTTACCTGCAAATTTCATGATTTCCTTATTTTTCATTGCTGAGTAATACTCCATTGTGTAGATGTACCACAATTTCTGCATCTATTCTTCAGTTGAGGGGCAACTGGCCAGTTTCCAGCTTCTGGCTATTACAAATAAAGCTGCTACAAACATGGTTGAGCAAATGTCCTTATTGTGTACTTGAGCCTCTTTTGGATATATGTCTAGGAGTGGTATGGCTGGATCTTGAGGAAGCGCTATTCCTAGTTGTCTGAGAAAGCGCCAGATTGATTTCCAGAGTGGTTGTACAAGTTTACATTCACACCAGCAGTGGAGAAGGGTTCCCTTTTCTCCACAGCGTCTCCAGCATGTGTTCTCAATAGAGTTTTTCATCTTGGCCATTCTGATAGGTCTAAGGTGAAATCTCAGGGTTGTTTTGATTTGCATTTCCCTAATAGCTAATGACGTTGAACATTTCTTTAAGTGTTTCTCTGACATTTGATATTCCTCTACAGAGAATTCTCTGTTTAGCTCTGTTCCCCATTTTTTAATTGGATTACTTGATTTTTTGCTTCTCAGCTTCTTTAGTTATTTATATATACTGGATATTAGCCCTCTGTCAGAAAAAGGGTTGGTGAAGATTCTTTCCTAATCTGTAGGCATTAGTTTTGTTTTGATGACAGTGTCCTTTGCTTTACAGAAGCTTTTCAGTTTCATGAAGTCCCATTTATTGATTATTGATCTTAGAGCCTGTGCTGTTGGTGTTCTGTTCAGGAAGTTTTCTCCTGTACCAATGAGTTCTAGGGTCTTCCCCACTTTTTCTTCTAACCGAGTTAATGTGTCCGGTTTTATGTTGAGGTCTTTGATCCACTTGGACTTCAGTTTTGTGCAGGGTAATAAGTATGGATCTATTTTCATTTTTCTACATGTAGACATCCAGTTGGACCAGCACCATTTGTTGAAGATGCTGTCTTTTTTCCACTCTATGATTTTGTCATCTTTGTCAAATTTCAGGTGTCCATAATTTTGTGAGTTTATTTCTAGGTCTTCTGTTCGGTTCCATTGATCCACCATTCTGTTTCTAGGCCAGGAAAACACAGTTTTTATTACTGCTGCTCTATAGTACAACTTAAGATCAGGGATGGAGATACCTCCAGAAGATCTTTTATTGTAGAGGATTGTTTTAACAATTCTGGATTTCTTGTTATTCCATATGAAGTTGAGAATTTTTCTTTCCAGGTCTGTAAAGAATTGTGTTGGCAATTTGATGGGAATTGCATTGAATTTGTAGATTGCTTTTGCTAAGATGGCCATTTTTACTATGTTAATCTTGCCAAGCCATGAGCATGGGAGATCTTTCCATCTTCTGATATCTTCTTCTAATTCTTTCTTCAGAGACTGGAATTTTTTTTCATACAGGTCTTTGACTTGCTTGGTTAGGGTTACACCAAGGTAATTTATGTCATTTGTGGCAATTGTGAAGGGTGTTGTTTCCCTAATTTCTTTCTCAGCCCTTTTGTCTTTTGTATACAGGAGGGCTACTGATTTTTTGGAGTTAATTTTGTATCCGGCTACTTTGCTGAAGGTGTTTATCAGCTGTAGGTGTTCCCTGGTAGAATTTTGGGGGTCACTCATATATACTATCATATCATCTGCAAATAGTGATAACTTGACTTCTTCCTTTCCAATTTGTATCACCTTGATCTTTTTTAGTTTTCTTAATGCTCTAGCAAAGACTTCCAGAACTATGTTGAAGAGATATGGAGAGAGTGGGCAGCCTTATCTTGTCCCTGATTTCAGTGGGATTGCTTTAAATTTCTCTCCGTTTAGTTTGATGTTGGCTATAGGCTTGCTGTATATTGCCTTTACTGTTTAGATATGTGCCTTTTATCCCTGATCTCTCCAATACTTTAAACATGAATGGATGTTGGATTTTGTCGAATGCTTTTTCAGCATCTAGGGAGATTATCATGTGTTTTTTTTTTTCTTTCAGTTTGTTAATATGGTAGATCACAGTGATGGATTTCCCTGTATTGAACCACGCCTGCATACCTGGGATGAAGCCTAGTTGGTCATAGTGGATGATATCTTTGATGTGATCTTGTATTCAGTTTGCAAGTATTTTGTTGAGTATTTTTGCATCAATGTTCATAAGGGAGATTGGCCTGAAATTCTTTCTTTGTTGAGTCTTCGTGAGGTTTAGGTCCCAAGTGATTGTGGCTTCATAGAATGAGTTTGGTAATGTTCCTTCTGTTTCTATTTTGTGGAATAGTTTGAAGAGAATTGGAGTTAGCTCTTCTTTGAAGGTCTGGTAGAATTCTGCGCTGAAGCCATCTTGTCCTGGGCTTTTTTTGGATGGGAGACTTTTGATGACCGCTTCTATTTCTTTGGGGGATATAGGACTATTTAATTGATTTACCTGGTCCTGATTCAGCTTTGGTAAGTCAAATCGATCAAGAAAATTGTCCATTTCTTTTAGATTTTCAAATTTTGTTGAGTATAGACTTTTGAAGTAAGTCCTAATGATGGTTTGGATTTCCTCAGTGTCTGTAGTTATGTCCCCCTTTTCATTTCTGATTTTGTTGATTTGGGTGGTGTCTCTCTGCCTTTTAGTTAGCTTGGCTAAGGGTTTGTCGATCTTGTTGATTTTCTCAAAGAACCAGCTCTTGGTTTCATTGATTCTTTTGAAAGACCCCAGCCTCACACTAAGTTAAACATAGCTAATGCCATTTTGTGAGACACCACTGTTTTGTAAAACTCTGAAGGCCAGATGAGAAACTGGAAAATTACTGAGAAATCCTAGCTGTGTCACCCACTTGGGATATCTGTGGTCAGGCTGCCCCAGTCATACTAAAAACAGTTTGTGTTAATCACTCTCATAGATATCTGTGAGACTGTTTCAGCTAAGATAGGGAAAAACAAAATAACAGGTGGCGGGCCACGTCAAGGGGTCATCCTACCCCCCTTGACCACCCAGTTCCTGAAATCTTGGTGCCCCTGCCAAACTTTGACGGAAATTGTGGTCTCGTGTAAACATACCAATCAGCCCCCTGTAACCATGCCCTCTCGTTTCTGTACCAGTGCCTCTGCCTCTAAAACCCTATAAAAACCCCAGCTTTCTACCTAGGGGGCGCGGAAGTCTTCCGAAAGACTTTTTGCCCCGGGTACCTGTGTATCAAAATAAAAGCCTCTTGCTGTTTGCATCCGAATGGCCTCGTTGATCCTTGGGAGGGGGTCTCTCTGACGGAAGATACCCTCCGGGGATCTTTCACTTTGAATTGTTTTATTTGTTTCTAATTGATTGATTTCAGCCCTGAAGTTGATTATTTCCAGCCATCTACTCCTTTTTGGTGTGTCTGCTTCTTCCTTTTCTAGGGTTTTTAGGTAAGCCATTAAGTTGCTTGAATGAGCTGTCTTGAATTTCTTCTTGAAGGCACTTAGTGCTATGAACTTTCCTCTTAGCACTGCTTTCATTGTGTCCCACAAGTTTGGGTATGTTGTGCCTTCATTTTCATTGAATTCTAGGAATACTTTAATTTCTTTATTTCTTCCATGACTCAGCTGTCATTTAGTAGCAAGTTGTTCAGTTTCCATGTGTTTGTAGGCTTTTTGCTATTTCTGTTGTTGTTGAGGTCCAGCTTTATTCCATGGTGATTAGATCGGATACAAGGAATTATTTCAATCGTCTTGTATCTGTTGAGGCTCACTTTGTCACCAACTATATGGTCTATTTTGGAGAAGGTTCCATGAGGTGCTGAGAAGAAGGTAAATTCTTTTGTGTTTGGGTGTAAGGTTCTGTAAATGTCTGTTAGGTCCATTTGATTCATGACCTCTGTTAGAGACATTGTTTCTTTGTTTAATTTCTGTTTAGTTGACCTGTCTTTTGTTGAGAGTGGGGTGTTGAAGTCTCCCACTATTAGTGTGTGGGAATCTATGTGTGGTTTAAGTTTTATCAATATTTCTTTTACAAATGTGGGTGACCTTGTATTTGGGGCATAGATCTTCAGGATTGTGATGTCTTCCTTGTGGAATTTTCCCTTGATGAGTATGAAGTGTCCTTCCCCATGTCTTTTGATTAATTTTGGTTGAAAGTCTATTTTATCAGATATTAGAATGGCTACTCCTGCTTGTTTCTTGGGTCCATTTGCTTGGAAAACCATCTTCCAACCCTTTATCCTCAGGTGATGTTTATCTTTAAGACTTAGGTGTGTTTCTTGTATGCAACAGATTGCTGGGTCTTGTTTACGTATCCATTCTGTTAGTCTGTGTCTTTTTTTTGGAAAATTGAGTCCATTGATGTTGAGAGAGATTAATGACCAGTGGCTGTTAGATCCTTTGATTTTGATGTTGGCTGTGGTCATAAGTTTGTGTGTGTGGTTGTTTTTTGTTTTACTGTAGTGTGGTTAATAATTCCTCTGTTTTCACATTTGGTTTTTTGAGACCAATATATGTATTTACCAAATATATGTATTTATATTTGGCTTTTCAAGATAGGATTTCTCTGTGTAGCTCTGACTGTCCTAGACCTCACTCTGTAGACCAAGGTGATCGTCAACTTAAAGACTGCCTGCATGTGCCTCTGCCTCCTAAGTGCTGGGATTAAAGGACTGAGCCATCACCACATAGCTAAACACACATATATATATATCACATGCAACATACCAGTTGAGTCACCGTTGCTGTCAAGGTACCCCCAGAACTGTCTCCCATAATGCAGATGCGAGTGGGATCCACTCTGTATTTTGCAAGAACCTTTTCTTGGAGAAAGAACTTGATCACAGAAACACAGTCTTCAAATGCAGCTGGGAATGGGTACTGAGGAGCAAGTCTATAGCTTTAGAAATAAATCAGTCAGAACCACAACAAAGCCCTTGTTAAAATTATGCAAGTAAATACCTCATGCTCACCAACAAGTATGCAGATATTGGCTCTACTTTGAATCATAAGTCTCACTAATTAACCCCGAGCTCACTGGTGACTTCTGTCTTAAAGTGAGGAGTAGATTCTGGTTCAGGGTTTCAGGTATTGGTGGTGAGGACGAAGGAGTGGGACAGAAGGTGTGTTCACACTGTGAAATCTGTGTGCTTCGTAGCCCTCAGTGCACTTGGTGACTCAAGAGCAACTCAGTGTCATTGATAGGATTATGCAGAAATATTAAATGCAGAAAATGTCACAGGAAATATGAATGTATTTAAGTAATTTGAAATATGAATATCTTAACACTTACCACCAATGAATCTTACTAAAACTTGTAAGTTGATTCATAAGATTAAGTACTATTTCATTTGTTTGTCCTTTTCTGTGTATGTGTCTGGGTTCTATGACAGAATCAAACCTATTGAACTATCTCACTTTTTAACTCAATTACCTTGATATCCATTAGAACTAGTGAATTGTTCACATGATGATATTAAGCAACTTTTACCAGCTGGTTCTTGTATTTGTATTTTAATCTGTACCTAAAATATTTGAAATTCACATAATCTGACCACAACAATAAAAAAAAATATTCTTCAAGGTAAAAAACAGCAAATACCTTAAAAAGCAACCTGTGGAATTGTTTAAACAATATACAACATATTTTACTGATTAAAAAGCTTACCTAAAGTTATACCATGTTAAATTTAATTAAAATTATAGCACTAAAGGGACTGCATAATTATTGCTACAATTTAGATATTCCTCAAAATTTAAGTAATTTGTTTGGTTCTCTTACTCTATTCCCACAACCACAGCATCAAGCTTGTTTGCTGTCCATCTGTTCAGGTCATCGTAGGCTGCTGCCTCTGAAATGAAAGGATTAAATGTAAAATGGTGTCCTGTGAATCGCAAATAACAGAAACCCAAAAATAATCATGAGTGTGATAGAAATGTGATTGATGGATGGAAACTCGGTAATCATTGTCACACAGAGCAACAACCTGTCGGAGATCAGGATAAAAATTGGCTGCAACTCATTGCCACCATAGTCCATAAAACTCTTGGTAAAAGTATTAGAAAACCTGGAATTAAGTTGAAACTAACATTATAGGCAGCATTGTACTTTTCAGAAACTCAGAGATTCACCACAGTTATTACTTATTTAAGAAACTTTTCAATCAAGGGCATCAACTTAGTTAATGCAAGGTATTTAGGGCTATTAAAATAGCTAAGTTTTTATTTTTCCAGAGACTTGCATATTTACATATGGTTGTGAATATCTAATATATTTACAAGTAAACTTTAGGTTACCTTTCTGTATCTAAGTGACAATTTTAATTTTCATTAAAATAAAATAAAAGTGTGTGCTTGCTCTTGTAATTCTTTACAAGAGTTAATTGTACATAAAATACTTAATAAATTTAAAAGAGGAAGGAAGGGACAATTTTTTTCCTAAAAAAATTTAAGGAACAGTAATGTTAACAATTCTCTTTAATTAGCAATTCATACACAAAGAATAAATTGGCATCCATCATATTAAACATAAAATAATAATTGCCAGAAAATAAACATAAACAACATGAAATGCTATTTTAGTAAAATGTGCAACAGTTTCCTGAGAACTCAGGGAACTTGGGGAAATATATATGGCTAAATATGTTCAAAATATAAAGTTAGAGAAAGAAGAGGCAAGAAGTGGACAGGATAACAAAGGAGACTATAGGCCTCCACACTTCAGTGTTTGACTAAAGGTTTGTCAACAAATGGATACAATTACTGAAATGTTAATTAATAATCAAATTTTTATTTGATTATTGTGGCCAAATGTGGCCAAATTTTCACATCACAAAATGGTGGTGAGCCATCAGGAAGGAAAGAATAGAAAGCCATCCAAATGATAATCTCCATAATATGGATAGGAACAAGAAGATGCTCAGAATCTGTGACCAGAACATATCGTAAATTGTAGGAGATAAAATACTGTAAACAAGAGCTACTGTCTGTCTGTCTGTCTTAACTACTACACTTACTTCCAGACAGAGACTGTTTACTCAGCTTTATTTTTTTTTTACTTGAATACAAAGTAATGCTTTGAGTCCTAAACCTCAATATTATTGTTGTATCACCATCTAAACTTTGAACAAATGCTAGCTGTAGTATGGCAGCAATTATATTATCTAGGACTTAAGAGTTAAAACACCTGATTGACCTCAACATTTATTTATTTTATGTGATTTGTTTTTTTTTAATATAATTCCAAGTTTATTCATTGCAATTTTAAGTTTATGGTATCATTATGTTTACTTAAACCTTTATTTTTCTAAGAAAACTATCTTGTTTCTACTTGATTATTTTACTTACCAAATTATATATACAAATATGTGTGAGCTGTGACCCACACATTCTAATGTATCTCTGTTAAGATGCACTTACTGCCTATGTCAACATTGTACAGGCAAATGCTCCATCTACTTATCAGTACACTGCAATTGTTTTGATAGGAACATATTCTCATTTATTCATATTCATATAAAAATACACTTACTGCAACTTCCCAAGACAAAGGCACCACCATGAATGAAAATTATAGCTGGTCTCAGTATTTCAGACTTCTTTTTTGGCAAGTACAGACAAACAGGAATGTCACTAAACTTTGTGTCAATCACTGTAATGTTTTCATCTGAAACTGGTTTTGTAAGGTGAAGTGATGATAAAGTTAAAAATATGTCTTCATATTTCATGAGTCCAATGTATTCAAATAATGTGGCCTATAAGAACAAGACAAAATGTAAGCATTATATAGTTTCATTTAATAACAAAAGTGATGGTATGATAATAAAATAAACAATATGGTAAAATTATAGACTTTTCAATATTCTAATATTATTTTGTTAGCATGAAAATCTCAACACTGATATTTGTGTCAGACCTGGACGAATTAAGTCTGTCAATGATTTATCATGGATAAGAGATGGGTCAATAAAATCGCATCACTTCTTGTGAAAATATTCATAGTTACTGGTCAATGAGGAAAAAGTACTCATATTATCCAAGCTGTTCATATGTTACCCTTGCTATAGCAGACAATGTCCTCAAGCACAAAGCTTATTAAAATCATTGGATCACACAAAAGATAAAAACCTAGTTGTTGAGAAAATGGGTTCTAGCAGGCCTAGGAAAGAGATGAGAGAAGGGAATTCATTGAGTAAATGCATAAAACTGTCCAATAATAAATACAAGGGAATGATTAAATTTGCAGGCAAATGGTGGGAATTGGAAAAGTTCATCCTGAGTGAGAAAAACACAAATGGTATAAACTCACTTATAAGTGGATATTAGAGACAAAATATAGGATAAATATATTATAATCTGTACACCTAAAGAAGCTAAGCAAGAAGAAGGATCCTGGTTAAGATGATCAGTACTCACTCAGGATGATCCTTTCCAGGTCCCACCATTTACCTGCAAATTTCATGATTTCCTTATTTTTCATTGCTGAGTAATACTCCATTGTATAGATGTACCACAGTTTCTGCATCCATTCTTCAGTTGAGGGGCATCTGGGTTGTTTCCAGCTTCTGGCTATTACAAATAAAGCTGCTACAAACATGGTTGAACAAATGTCCTTGTTGTGTACTTGCGCCTCTTTTGGGTATATGCCTAGGAGTGGTATGGCTGGATCTTGAGGAAGCGCTATTCCTAGTTGTCTGAGAAAGCGCCAGATTGATTTCCAGAGTGGTTGTACCAGTTTACATTCCCACCAGCAGTGGAGAAGGGTTCCCCTTTCTCCACAACCTCTCCAGCATGTGTTGTCCCTTGAGATTTTCATCTTGGCCATTCTGATGGGTGTAAGGTGAAATCTCAGGGTTGTTTTGATTTGCATTTCCCTAATGGCTAATGAGGTTGAGCATTTCTTTAAGTGCTTCTCTGCCATTCGATATTCCTCTGCAGAGAATTCTCTCTTTAGCTCTGTTCCCCATTTTTTAAGTGGATTACTTGGTTTGTTGCTTTTCAGCTTGTTTAGTTCTTTATATATACTGGATATGAGTCCTCTGTCAGATAGAGGGTTGGTGATGATTCTTTCCCAATCTGTAGGCAGTCGCTTTGTTTTGATGACGGTGTCCTTTGCTTTACAGAAGCTTTTCAATTTCATGAGGTCCCATTTATTGATTGTTGCTCTTAGAGCCTGTGCTGTTGGTGTTCTGTTCAGGAAGTTTTCTCCTGTACCAATGAGTTCTAGGGTATTCCCCACTTTTTTTCTAGCCGATTTAATGTGTCTGATTTTATGTTGAGGTCTTTGATCCACTTGGACTTCAGTTTTGTGCAGGGTGATAAGTATGGATCTATTTGCATTTTTCTACATGTAGACATCCAGTTGGACCAGCACCATTTGTTAAAGATGCTATCTTTTTTCCATTGTATGGTTTTGGCATCTTTGTCAAAAATCAGGTGTCCCAGAAGCAAAAAGACACTCACGGTATATACTCACTCATATAAACATACAATATAGAATAAACCCACTAAAAGCTGTACATCTAAACAAACTAAGCAAAAGAGAGGACCCTAACTAAAATGTTCAATCCCCATCCTGAAAGGCAAAGAGGATGTACATCAGAAGAAAACGAAAATAGGAAACAACCTCGGAACCCGCTACAGAGGGCCTCTGAAAGCCAGAAGAAAACAGGAAACAACCTTGAAACCTGCCACAGAGGGCCTCTGAAAGCTTCTGCAGTATAGACTGTCAAAGCAGATGCTGAGCCTGATGGCCAACTGATGGGCAGAGTGAATGGAATTTTATGTAAGAAGTGGGAAATAGTAAGAGCTGGAGGGAACGGGAACTCTACAAGCAGAGCAACAGAACAAGATAATTTGAACACAGGGAACTTCCCAGAGACTCATACTCCAACCAAGGACTATTTGTGGAGATGACCTGGAACCCCTGCACAGGTGTAGCCCATGGCAGTTCAGTGTCCAAGTGGGTTCCATAGTAATGGGAAGAGGGACTGCCTCTGACATAATCTGATTGGCCTGCTCGTTGATCACTTCCCCCTGAGGGGGGAGCAGCCTTACCAGGCCACAGTAGAGGACAATGCAGCCACTTTTGATGAGAACTGATAGACTAAGATCAGAAAGAAGGAGAGGAGGACCTCCCCTATCAGTGGACTTGGGGAGTGGCATGCATGCAGAAAGGGGAGGGAGGGTGGGATCGGCAGGGGAGGAGGGAGGGGCTCATGGGGGGATACAAAATGAATAAAGTGTAATTAATAAAAAAATAAAAGATTAAAAAAAAAAAAGATGATCAGTACTAATTCAGAAAAGCAAACTGGATGTCTTCAGAGGATTGAGAAAAAAAGCAACAGGACAGGAGGCTACCACAGAGGACCTCTGAAAGACACTACCCATTATGGTATCAAAGCAGATGCAGAGACTGTTAGCCAGAGTTTGGGTAGAGTACAAAATCTTATGAAAGAAGGGGAAATAGGAAGACATTGAGGGAACAGGATCTCCACAAGAATACCAACAGATCCAAAAAATCTTGGCACAGGGGTCTTTTCTGAGACTGATACTCCAACCATGGACCATGTATGGAGACAACCTAGAACCCCTGCACAGATGTGGCCCATGGCAGCCTAGTGTGAAAGTGAAATCCCTATGGGAATAGGGCCTGTCTCTGACATGAACTTAGTGTCTGACTCTTTGATCACATGTCCCTGATGAGAGAGCAGCCTTACCAGGCCACAGAGGAAGACAAAGCAGCCAGTCCTGATGAGATCTGATAGGCTAGGGTTGGAGGGAGGACCTCCCCTATCAGTGGACTTGGGGAGGGCCATGGGAAGAGATGAGAGAGGGAGGATGGGATTTGTGGGGATAAGAGAGGGGGCTACAGCTGGGATACAAAGTGAATGAATTGTAATTTATTTAAAAATGAATAAATTTTAAAAAGAAAATAAACAAACAATAAATGATTAAATGCTTGGAGATATTAATCTGCTATTGACCTGGAAATTTCATCTCTATTTGCTAGCTTTTATAGGGTTCAAGTTGCTCTGCATACACCCAGAGGAAAGTAATCTTGCCGAAGTCTGAACCTTATAAACTACAATAACCACTGGACTGGCAGGACTTTACCATTGTTGCAATAGAGATTTGAAAATTATAGGAGGAAATAATGACATTCTTAAGGGATTTAAGTTCCATTCCAGGAGACCAAACTCATACCTAGCACCACTGTTGAGTAGTGAATCTTTGAATAAGTAGGTCACAGGCCATAAAAGTAAAACCTAGTAACGCCACTCTATTAAATGTATGTAGTATTAAACTGAGTCCTTTTTGACTTATTGTTATAGCCATAGATTAAGGAATCTCTCAGTCCTCACCAGAGAAGCTTCTGTTTGTAGTAGATTGTAATTAACACAGAGGTGCAAAGTAGACCAAGGTGTGGAATAAGAGACTACTGAATACTCAACTCTAAATGAAACGACTATAACTTCCTTCTCTTCTGCCAAAGCTCAGAGATCATTTCAGAAAAGGACAATAAGACTATATAAGCCAGAGATATTGAATGAACACAAAGAAACAGTGGCTTCCAGACACAACATGATAGTTGATCATATGAACTCAATGGTTGTGACATCATGAAAAAGAATTCTGCAAGCCCAAACCCGAGCAATGCCTACCATGTAGGAAGGAGTTGGGCACAAAAGTATCATCCTTAGCCAAGGATCTACTGAAAATTTATGGCTAGTGGGAGGAAAGTCAGTTTTTTTAAGGTTAGAAAAAAAAAGTGGGGAAGAGCCTTGAACTCATTGGCACAGGAGACAACTTCCTGAACAGAATGCCAATTTTTTTAAGGGTAGGGTTTTTTTTTTTTACTTTTATTAATTACAGTTTATTTATTTTTATCCCCCCTGTAGCTCCTTCATTCCTCCCCTCCCCATTCCATTCTCCCTCCCCCTTCTCCACCCATGCCCCTCCCAAATCCATAGGGAGGGCTTCCTCCACTTCCTTCTAATCCTAGTCTATCAGGTCTCATCAGGAGTGGCTTCTTTTTCTTCCTCTGTGGCCCAGTAAGGCTGCTCCCCCCTGAGGGGAAGGTGATAAAAAAGCAGGACAATCAGTTCACGTCAGAGACAGTCCTTGTTCGCATTAATATGGAATCCATTTGGACATGGAACTGCCATGGGTCACATCTGTGCAGAGGTTCTAGGGTATCTCCATGAAAGGCTCTTGGTTGGAGTATCAGTCTCAGAAAAGACCACTGTGCCCAGATTTTTTGGTTCCGTTGCTCTCCTTGTGGAGCTCCTATCCTCTCCAGGTCTTACTATCTCCCCTTTCTTTCAAAAGATTTGCTGAACTCTGCCCAAAGTTTGGCTGTAAGACTCAGCATCTGCTCTGATACCCTTCAGGGTAGGGCCTTTCAGAGGCCCTCTGAAGTAGGCTCCTTTCCTTTTCCCTGTTTTCTCCCTCTTCTTATGTCCATCCTCATTGCCTTTCTGAATGGGGATTGAGCATCTTAACCAAAGTTCTCCTTATTAATTAGTTTCTGTAAGTGTACAGATTTTAATATGTTTATCCTATATTATATGTCTAACATCCACTTGTGAGTAAGTATATATCTTGTGTGTCTTTCTGCTTCTGGGATAGTTTACTCAGGATGATCTTTTCTAGTTCCCACCATTTGCCTGCAAATTTCATGATTTCCTTGTTTATTATTGCTGAATAATGTTTCATGAATGAAGATTCTCAGCTTCATATGGAGAAACAAAAA